CAGGAATAAAGATGAAACAGTTTCTAGAGATGATTTCTACTGGATGCCAGAGTCTAGAGCAAAGCCATTCTCTCTCCTAGCTGGTCATGGGATGACTGACATACGACATCAATTGATGTGTTTATCTGTGTTCTTTCTTTTCCAAGTAAGTATTTGGCCTTGGGGCCATCATTTAATTATCATTTCTCCTCCATGCATGTAAGCCAAATGAAAAATAATGAATAAAGTCATTTTAGGAAATTCAAAAGCACTACTTTTATAATGCTTTTTTAAAAAAAGTGTATGTGTGTTTACTTAGAATTAAATTCCTGAAGGACAGATTTTAGGGGCTATATTTTGGTTTGGGGTTTTATTTTAATGTAATAAGAGGGAAAATATTAATGTAAAGTAAAATGACTTTGGTTTAAATGAATGTTCTAAATTAAAAATGTATTTAGATACAGATAAGGGCTAAGCTGATGGATGGCTCTGCTTCCTCTAGTTGTGGCTCACGGGCTCTAGAATGCAGACTCAGTAGTTGTGGCACACCGGCTTTGTTGCTCTGTGGCATGTGGGATCTTCCCGGATCAGGGCTCAAACCCATGTCCCCTGCATTGGCAGGCGGATTCCTAACCACTGACCCACCAGGGAGGCCCGATAATTTTAACTGTAGAAAAATGCATGAAGTTATTGCTGAAAGAGGACCTTAGAAATACTTCAGTCAATTACCTTTACTTTATAGTGGAAGAGCTGAGGCCCAAAGGTCAAAAGTCATGCTGGAACTGGAACCTAGGTCAGTTCCTGTTTCTTAGTCCAGTGCTCTTTTCACCACACTATGCTAATTTCATGGCTGTTTCAGAAATGGCACTGAAATTTTACATGAAGGCAGAAATCAGCACTGATATGTGATCTTCATATTTTCCTAATCAGTTAATTTTATTATCTTCATGTTTTCCTAATCCATTATTTTACAATAATGTTCTTCGTATTTTCTCACAGTTGTAAGGATCATCCTTGCCATTGTCTTTTGCCTGGTGTCTGGTGTCCTAATCGTGCTGCTGTTTATCCTTATCTGTCATGGGCCCTGCTGACAGACTCTGTGGAAACATCTGAACAGATGGCTGAATAAGGGCGGACATGCCAGGCCAATCCCCTGTGCTGCAGCATTCCTCAGTGACGCAGCATTCAAAGGACAGGTTTTCACCTTGTGGGCATCACCCCACCTTTTGAGCCTGCCTAGAGAAGGGTCTGAACTCACAGTGACCCAGAGACAGCTGCCAGACTGACTGATGAATGAACACCAGGTCATCCTGGTGCGGGCTTCTCATTCAGCTGGAAGGAAACTGTTCTGCAAAGGATAGTCATATTCTCTGGCACAAATGACCAGAGAAAAATAAGAAGTCAAATTCCAATCCGCCTTTTGCCTTCAAAGAGCAAAAACTTACAAGGGGTGACAAAGACATAGATTAAAGAAGACTGGATAATGGGAAAAATTAGACTAGAAGTAGTATGATATAGGATGATTCTTAAGAAATAGGACTCAATCAGAAGGTATAAATAAATCTCTTCTTTAACTTTTAAGTAGGTTTAATGCAAACATGCACACTAATTTCTCTTCTTATTAAATGTTTGAAGAAGGAATTTGACAACACATGTAGAAAATAAGTACTGCTATATTGCAAAGGGAGGGGGTGACTTTTTAAAGTTTTATTAAATTTTTATTACAAGTAATTGTATCCAAAACAAAAATAAATGCAGATAATAAAGAAGAGTATAAAATACAAAATAAAATGTCTTCCTATCCACTTCCAGTCATCAGAGGCAATGTTGTCAAGAATGTCTGGTTTTAGTTCTCCTAGCGATTAGCATGAATTTTATGAATTACTTTTATTTTATGAAAATTTTACATGTTTTACTGCTCTTATAACCCATGGAGTCCTCTTTCTTGTATTTTTTTTCCCTTCCTTGAAGTTTGTTTGCCTTTTTTTTTTTTTAAGGGTGCATGGGCTCTAAGTTTTCTGGTTCTAATATGTCTATATTATGCCCTCCCACTTACCTATCAGTCAGCTGGGTATAAATTTTCCTATTGAAAAATCATTTCCCTCAGAATTTGAATTCAGTATTCTGTTGTCTTCTAGCATACAGGTCTGCTGACAAAAGTCTGATATCAAGGAAACTCTGTGTAGAACTTGAATTTCTTGGTATTCTCCATGCCTCAATTTTCTCTCACATTTTCCAGATTTTTGTCTTATTTTTCTGCATTCTAAGAAATTTCATTTTCCAGAACACCAACTTGGTCTTCAGCAACAATTATTTCTTTTTTATTTCCAAGAATTCTTCCCTAGTCATTGATTGTTTATTTTTCATTGTGGCCCCTTCTTATTTTAGGAATGCAATCTATTCTTGAATGTCTTCAAGAATGTTACTTAGAATTTTTTCAAGTTATCCTCTGCTCCTTAAATTATCTCTGTTTTCTCTGGGCTCAGTTGTTTGAATTTATTAATCTTGGACCTTCTCTTTCATGCTCCAGGTTTGTCTCAAATTCTTGTGAATCGTAATCCACAAATGGAGAACTTTGTAGATTAGTAGGGATGGCTAGTGTTGGTTTCCTAGTTTTGTATATCTATTTTCCCGACAAACATCTTTAATAACTGCTTTAAAATTCTCTTTTGCTAATTGCACCATCTTTGTTCTCTCATGACCAGTCTTAATTCATTGCATTTTTAGGTTACATTTTCCTGTTTCTTTGTATATAGAATAATTTTGGATTGTGTTT